AAAAAAAAATCAGCTGCCTATAAGTGCCTAACAACTTTTTGTATAGGTTTTTGTAAAATGTAGAGTAAAATGAATTTCGCCTTCTCTGGACGATGTAAGACTTGGGAAGATTGCAAATAAAGACGAAATTGTCTCAACTTAAGAAGATTTTTCATCAGATGATGATTCTTTTCTTTTATGAAAAAACTGGAATTTTATATTACAACTTTGGCACGGGATTCAAATAAATCACTCTCGATACATATTTAACGAAATATATAAATAGTCTAATATGTCATTTGTCATTTTTACATCTTCTTCATGCTTGATAAATGTGACATTTTGTATTTCACAATCTTTTAATTCTTAATCCCTATTTGAAAAATATTTCTACTTCTGATATGGCTATATTAAATCGTCCACATTGAATTTTGCAATTCTGACTCCAAATTCGTTATCAGCGACCCCAAAAACCCCCGAGTAACAAATTTCAGATCGATTTTTAACGATTTTGACTTTTGGCCAGCTTTTTGGGATTCTGCCCCACTGTGTGTCCCCTTCTATCGGATAGTTAGCTCGGACCTCTTTGTAACAAGTTTCCACTCGCATAAAATTTTCACCTTTCAAAACTCGACATCCGTCATTCAGGGGGGGTCGCGAAACCTCTTTAAGGGGATCGCAGTTACTTTTAGAGGCTTTTATAGTAAAAAAAACATTCTAGTTCAAAATGTTATATTTATTTAGAAACGGTTAATCAAAGATTAGGCAGAGCTTATGGACGGAGCACGCTCCTTAGTTTCCTTAGCTTAAGTTTAGTTGTTTGTAATAACGTAGAAAAAAGTAGGCTATACATGTCATATTGTAACATTTGTCAACAAATATACAGTCCACTTTAAGGTCAATTTATTTACCACAAAACCAAACATTGGTCCATTCGAGCCGCGATTCACTAGTAAAAGTGTTTCGTGGTATTTCTCATTAGGGGAGAAAAGCAAATCCAGTCAGTGGAGGAAAAGTAAAAGGCAGCAACATCGACAGGAATTTCCAGGGTCTTCGTGCAGCACAGATCACCAAGTAACAAGTCAAGGGAGTACCAACAAGACAAGGGAGTACCTGGACATCTCTTGGCGAAAAGAAAGCAGCGGGGAACGGCAGCGAGTCAGAGAATCAAAGCAGTCGAAAGAAGAGTTAGAGCAGCGTGTTGAATAGCACTCGGGCTTAGAGCACGACACACGATTTGGTAAAGGCACAAGGCATACCGGCAAGTAAATAAAATAACTCTTTCGGGCGTTAAAATGGCGGATTTAAAATCATTAAAAATAAAACGCGGTAACATCAAAGGGCAGTTAACCCGATTTGAAAGGTTTTTAAGCGAGGTCAGGGAAGAAACTCTTTCTCAGCTTTCAGAGAGAATAAAGAGGTGCGAGGAAATGTATGATCAATTTAATAAAATTCAGGAACAAATAGAGGAAATCGACGAAACAGAATTACAAAAAAATGAAAGGGATATTTTTGAGGAAAATTATTACAAATTAATCGGGGATGCAAAAAGATTATTGGTTAATCAAAATGCAGGAGAGATAGCAGCGCAACAAAGTTTAGGTCCGGTTCATAAAAAAGCGAAAAATGTAAAGTTACCTACTATTGAAATAACACCATTTTATGGTTCCTACAAATCGTGGTTGGAGTTTCGCGACGCGTTTACATCCATGATTGATAACGACGAAGAGTTAACACCGGTTCAGAAATTCTTTTATTTAAAGAGTTTAGTAAAAGGGGCAGCCGCAGAAGTAATACAGTCTTTAGAAGTATGCGATGAAAATTACATTGAGGCGTGGCATTTATTACGAGATAGTTTTGAAAATAATAAGCTTATTGCGTTAAGTCACATTGAATCAATATGCGAATTTCCGCCAATGCAAAAGGAATCATATACAGGGTTAAAAAGATTTTTGGATGAAATAAGAAAAACTGTTAGGGTTTTAAAAAGTTTAAAGTTACCGGTTGACACATGGGATGTCTTACTAATCTATTTATTAGAAAAGAAATTAGACTCAATAACAAAAAATGAGTGGAAAAAAAAGTGCTCAATCAAATCGTTTCAAACAATGTTTGAATTTATAGATTTTTTAGCATACAGATGTCAATATTTATATTCAAACAATCCAAGGGAAGGAAAATTTGGGGAAAAGGGAAATTTTCATAGAAATCAAGTAACTGACCATTCCAAGGGTTCTAAAAGTTTTGTAACATCACACGAAACTTGTTTTCTGTGTAAACAACCTCACCAAATATTTCATTGCAAAACGTTTATTGAATTACCAGTTCAGTCTAAACGTGATGAAATAAAAAAGGCCAACTTATGTTGGAATTGTTTAAGGCATGGTCATATCGTACAGAATTGCACATCTAAGGGTTGCAAGCATTGCGGAAAGAAACACAATTCGTTATTGCATGTAGATAAGCCGGAACAAGTACCAAAAAACACATTAAATGCGAGCAGCAGTCAATCAGGGGTAGAGTTGACTGATACAAACTGCAAAATACAAGGGATTAACAGTGATACCACTTCATTAACAGCAAACGTTAAGGTACATTCAGAGATATTATTATCAACGGCTTTGGTTCTCATAAAAGACAAATTCGGGAAATCACATGAATGCAGAGCATTGTTAGACTCTGGTTCTCAGTCCAATTTCTTAACGAAAGAATTATGTGACAGGTTACAACTATCAGTTCGAAAAACAAACGTGCCGGTAGCAGGTATAAATCAAATAGCCACAAATGTTCATTACATTACAAATGCGACAATTGTTTCAAAGTTTAATGGTTATCACATCAATTCGACATTTTTATTATTAAACAAAATCACCGACAATTTACCGGTCACTACAGTAAATACAGTCGATTTTAATATTCCAGGAAACATTAATCTAGCGGACACCACTTTCAATAAATCGGGCAAGATAGACATTTTACTTGGAGCTACCATATTTTGGGATTTACTTTGTGTGGGACAAATAAGGTTAGGAAAAGGTTTGCCTATCATTCAGAAAACAAAGTTAGGTTGGATAATTTCGGGAACGGTACCCCCTACGCAATCAAGTCTGACTAAGCAAACACGAATCTGCAATCTTAGTGTAGAACAAAACGACAATCTAAACCTACAAGATCAGTTGGAAAAGTTTTGGAGAATAGAAAACGTCCAGAATCACCATATTTTATCAAAAGAAGAAAGGGTATGCGAAGACATTTTTGTCAAAACGACAGAGCGAAACGGAGATGGAAGATTTATAGTAAATTTACCAATACGTGACAACTTGGAAGAATTAGGAAATTCGTACTCAAGGGCATTGAAGCGATTTAACAATTTGGAAAAAAGGTTGGCATCAAATGAGGAGTTTGGAAAACAGTACAGGGATTTCATGAAAGAATATGAAGATCTAGGGCACATGACAAAGATCGAAGATCATTTGACCAATGAAACACATAAGGTCGTGTATTACTTACCTCATCATGGAGTCTTACGCGAATCCTCACAAACGACAAAACTTCGTGTTGTTTTCGATGGTTCAGCTGAAACAGATACAGGTGTTTCTTTAAATCACAAATTAATGGTTGGTCCAAAAATCCAGGATGACTTGTTCGACATTCTAATCAGATTTCGTAAGTATAATTGCGTTATCGCAGCGGACGTCGCAAAAATGCACCGCCAAGTACTGATAAAAGAAGAACACAGGGACCTGCAGAGAATTCTTTGGAGACCATCAATTAATGAGCCAATCGGTCATTACCATCTAAACACTGTCACATATGGGACGGCATCAGCATCCTTTCTAGCAATACGATGTTTACAACAAGTAGGTCTTGACAATAAGGACAAATTTCCTGCAGCGAGTAGGGTCATTTTAAAGGATTTTTACGTTGACGATCTACTATCTGGTGCACAGTCATGGGAGATGACTAGGCAACTTCGGCAAGAATTATCAGCAATTCTCAATGAAGCAGGATTTCCATTAAGAAAATGGTTGTCTAATGACGATCTAGTGTTAGAAGATAAAGCTAATACGGAGCATCAAATTGAACACTTCCTTTCGGATGACAAAGTTTCAAAAACATTGGGACTTCTTTGGAATTCAAACACTGACGTGTTGCAGTATAAGGTAAATTTACACAGCCCACAATGCAGAGCAACAAAGCGGTCAATTCTCTCCGTTGTGTCTCAAATATTTGATCCACTAGGATTAGTTGGTCCAACAGTAATAAAGGCAAAGATCTTGTTACAAAAATTATGGCAATTAAAGTTCAGTTGGGATGAGGCTGTGCCTCTAGAAATACACACAACTTGGATTCAATTTTTAGAACAAATTAATTTTATCAATATGAAGATTAGAATACCAAGACAAGTAATTTGCAAAGAACCAATCGATATTCAATTACATGGGTTTAGCGATGCATCTATGTCAGCATATGGGGCTTGCATTTTTATCAGATCGACGGATGCAGACAATAATCACGAAGTTCAGCTACTATGTGCAAAATCGCGCGTTTCACCATTGAAGACAATATCTCTTCCCAGGCTCGAATTGTGCGGTGCATATCTGTTAGCAAAATTAACTAAAAATGTTTTACATGCAATTGGTTTAGAAGTGAACAAAGTGTACTTATGGTGCGACTCTACCATAGTACTAGCATGGATCGCTGGAGAACCCAACCAATGGAAAACATTCGTAGCAAACCGAACTTCAGAAATTCAGCAGATCACTGAAGGGTTTGAATGGAAGCATGTCATGTCAGATGACAATCCTGCGGATATCCTCTCCAGAGGATTGGATCCAAGTAAACTAGCGGAATGTGAGTTGTGGTGGAATGGCCCATCATGGCTTCAACTGGACGAATACTATTGGTCCCAATCGGCAGACGTCAAACATGTTGACATTCCGGAACAAAAGAAATTTGCGGTCGTTTCTATTAACCATATTGATATTAATATATTTGAGAGATTTTCGAGTTTAATAAAACTTCAACGTGTTTTCGCTTATTGTTTACGTTTTAAAAGTAATACAACTAGTCATAGAAATAATAAACTACTATGCGTTCTAACGGTAGACGAACTCAATGATTCACTAAACTTATTAATTAAATTAGCTCAACTTCAAGAGTTTTCATCGGACATCAATTCTCTTAAGCAATCAAAACGACTTTCAACTTCTAGTAAATTATTATCATTGAATCCTTTCTTGGACAATTTAGGTATAATACGCGTAGGCGGGCGGTTACAAAACTCTGATATTACCTATAACCAAAAACATCAAATATTACTTCCAAAAGGTCACAAATTAACGAAATTAATCATTTTACATGAACATTACAAAAGCTTACATTCAGGTCCGCAAGCCTTATTAGCAAATATTAGGTTAAAATATTGGATACCATCTGGTCGAAGCACGATCCGAAAAATTCTTCAAAAATGTATAGTATGTTTTAGAAACAAACCAAGGGACTACAATTATGTCATGGGTGAGTTACCAAGAGAACGGGTAATTCCATCTCGTCCCTTCACTAACTGTGGGGTTGATTATGCAGGGCCGTTTGAAACAAGGTCAACCAGACTTCGGAACCATAAGTTGATAAAATCTTATTTATGTATTTTTATTTGTTTTGCCACAAAGGCAGTTCATTTAGAACTTGTAAATGATTTAACGACTGACTCATTTTTAAATTGCTTTAAACGATTTACCTCCAGACGAGGACTATGCAAAAATATGTACTCAGACAACGGCACGAATTTTGTTGGGACTGCTAATTTCTGGAGAGGATATCCGCAGGATTGTCATATACATGACATATGGTAACATTTGTCAACAAATATACAGTCCACTTTAAGGTCAATTTATTTACCACAAAACCAAACAGCTTAGGTTAAGACAAATCAACAAATATCTACGAGTAACATGAATCATTAATGTGATGAGGAAGAGGCACACATTCACATTAATGTGATGGTTGCGCCTGATAACCAATTTTTCCCATCGCGGATCCGTTTTTGCTACACATAGAATTAAAACGTTTTCTAAATTTAAGCGATTTCTCTGTTTGCGTTTTATTTGAGCCATCGACGAAAACGTTAACTCATACAAGTAGTAGGTGGCAAATGGAATCAAACATTTCAAAGCTTCTTTGGTTAATTGTGGGTATTCTGTTTTTCTTTTTAACCAAAAGGTATCCAAAGTGACAGACTTGAATTCCAAGTGTAACATTCCATCAGCAGATAATTCCAGGAGATTTTCTTTTAGGTTGGTTCCCAAACTGGCCTCGTCTGTAGCTGCATTGAAAAACGGATTTATGATCCACCTTTGTCCAGTGTTTTCTGAAATTTCTTGCACCGAGAAATAATGACACAATTCTTCTTTCAAATTCTGCAAGACAATTTCCATGCCAGGTATATATGATTTGATGTTTATCTCAGACCCCACTTCTCCGATATAAGACTTAGTCGATGAAAATGAATCAAAATTGTTTTGCTTTATGGATGATGACCACAGGTTTATTTTTTTCGTGAAGCCATGGATTTTATCTTTAGCGGTAATGACATTTTCATCCCGCTCTTGAAGAGTTTTATTCAAGGTATTTAAATGCTCGAATAGGTCAGAAAGAAAAGCCAGTTTTAAAAGGAATTCCGGGTCACAAATAAATTTGGCATATTCTGACTTGATCTGCTGTAAGTACACCAAAAGTTGAGCTCGAAGTTCCAAAACTTTTGTCAGTACTTTGCCTTTCGATAACCACCTAACCTCTGTGTGGTAAGGCAAATTTTGGTGCAGTGAACCCATATCTTCACAAATGTTTCGAAATAGACGTGTCTGTAGCGCTTTCCCTTTAATAGAATTTACTATTTTTATAATTACATTCAGAACTTCATTGTATTCCTGTGGCAAGGTTTTGGCCGCAAGAGCTTGGCGATGATCAGTGCTTTTAGTCTAGTAATAAAGCCGCTTTTCGAACCAGTCATGGCTTTTGCTCCGTCACTACAAATGGCTATGCATTTCTTCGACCAATCGATATGGAAGTTTTGTGTAGCTTCAAGGAACATGTTATATAGGCACTGACCTGTTGTATTCGTGGGAAGAGCTTTACAAAACAGTATTTCTTCCAGAAATCTCTCATTGGATTCAAAACGCACAAACTGCAAGGATATAAATTTTTTTTCTTTCATTTTTTCTATGACTTGATCAAGGACATCAGTCACCATATCGCTTATCCTGCGTTGAATGGTATTGTCAGAGAGAGGTATAGTTTTGAGCTTTTCTACCGCTTGTTTGCCAAATATAATCTCTGCCATATCTAATGCCGCTGGTAAAATCAAATTTTCGGTAATTGTATGAGGTTTTCCTGTTTTAGCTACACGAAAAGCTACTCGGTAACTAGCTAGCAATGCTTTTTCAGTTTGGTTGGACATCTGTACTACAGCAGTTTTTTGATGATTAAGGCTCTTCAATTTTCGCTCAAAAAATTCCAACGGTTTTTTTTTTCTCATTTGGATGTTTTGTGTGGAGATGGCGCACTAGTTTCGATGGCTTCATGCTTTCGCGTGATAAAATTTTGTAGCAAATAACGCACTGTGGTTTATTTTCGATGACAGTAAATCCGAATTTTAAATAATTGTCGTCATACAAACGCTTTTCCTTTGGTTTTGCTTCGCTACTCTCACTGGAAGTTGAAGTTGAAGGTTGTGTTGGTCTTTTTAGAAACTTATCCATTTTCAATAATTACAAGTCACTCCAATAAATACATCAAATACGTACATCAAGCTAAAGAAACCAAACTTGGTGAACATTATCTGTCAATAAAACTACACTTTTTGAAATTTTTTCAACCCTGAACTATTTTTGTAAGGGGTTGAAATAATCAACCCCTATGACATTTTCGGCAAAATACACTCGCGTTAAACAGCTCATCTTTTTAAAAATACATTACAATACATTTATTTTTTTTTTTCATAAATCCTTAACTTTTCGAAGAAACTTGAAGAGATC